CAGTGTCTCATCACACTCAGAGGAAAAAACCTCTTCCTAAAGTTTCTCACAGAGCTTTTATTTGCTTTAAAGGCTTGGCCTCAATCTTGTGGGTTTCCTGCTCTGATGTGTGTGTCATAGCTGTGTGAGTGACAGGCTCTGCTCTGTGCTGGGCTCAGGGGTGAGGAGATCATAGAAAGATTTAATCATAGAATGATTTAATCAGTGAATCATGGAGTGGTTTGGATTGGAAAGGACCATAAAGATCTTCTAGTTCCAACCCCTCCTATGGGCAGGGACACCTTTCACTGAGTCAGGTTGCTCAGCCTGGCCTTGAGTACCAGGGAGGTGAGGGATGCTCCAGAGTGGGATCTTGTCTCCTGATGTGGGAAAACTTCAGCACAGAATCCCAGAATGTTTTGGGTTGGAAGGACCTTAAAGCTCATCTCATTCCTCCCCCTTCCCTGGGCAGAGACACCTTCCACCAGCCCAGGCTGCTCCAAGCCCCATCCAACCCGGCCTGGAACACTCCCAGGGATGGAGCAGCCACAGCTGCTCTGGGTACCCTGTGCCAGTGCCTCAGCACCTTTTCTTGTTGCAATCCTCTCCCAAGGATGGATTTACCCCATGGTCACCAACAGCGTGACATTCAGCCACTCAACCTGCTACACCTGAAAGGATCTGCTCTCAGCACCCAGAGACACCAACCCCCAGCAAGGGAAGCAGCTGGAAAATGAAGGTATGACACTTGTAATAGTCTCCACTGAGAGCTGTGATAACAAATCCCTTGAAAGGGAAGTGCTTCAGGGTCAAACAGTGGAGAGAGATGCTGGGATGAAACTGCTGAGTGCAGCAGAAGTGTGTTCCAGTCACTCTGAAGAGGCAATAAATGAGGGACCTTCACAGAGTTCCTCAGCCTCAAAGAAGTTCATTTGCCTGTGCCACGAGTTGTTAAAATTAGCAAAATCTTGAAAGGCCCTGAAAAAAAAGGCTTCATCCAACCTGGCTTTGAACACTGCCAGGGTTGGGACAGCCACAGCCTCCCTGGGCAACTTGGAATCCTGGAATTTCCCCCCCAAATACACACAGAAAGCAAACACTGTGTAATTCCTTACAGGTTTTCCAAGCTATTTGGACTTTTCAGGGGCTGATTGAACTGCCTCAAAGCAAGTTGAGGGAAGTTTTTCTGAGCTCTGGGGTAGGAATGCAGAGCCAGGACAAACCCTTGTGTGTTGTGTCATTTTGTCAGCTACAATTGATTTCTTTTATGCACTGATTTGCCAAACAATTTCTCTCAGTTTTTCTCCCAGAATCATCAAGTTTTGGCCTGGTTTAACTTTAATCAGCATGAGGCTTCAGCAGTACCACGTGGGAATGTGCTGCTCCATGTACATTGTCCCTAAAGAGGTGCTGGGTGGGATTGCTCTCTTTATCCTGATTTTTGGTGCTGTCCTTTGGAAAATCCTTCTCCTTCTGAACTCTAGTAAAGCTGTGAAGAGAGAGATCCTGAGTGGTTCATGTCTCACCTCCACTAAAAAGCCTATGAGGATAAGGAAATCCATTCAAAGAACTGCCTATATTGGGGCAAATACACCCAAGAAAGCCTATGAGGATTAGGAAATCCATTCAAAGACCTGCCTATATTGGGGCAAATACACCCAAAAAAAGGCCTGTGAAATCCATTTTTCTCTTCACAGCTTTGAAGCAGATGGTGAGGAGGGGCCAGAAGGGGAGAACTACCAACAGCAAATAGTATAAACCCAGTGTAAAGAATTCTTTGCCTCTCTTCTCCATGAAGTGCCAGAGCAGAGTGTTCCAGTTGGTTCCTTCCACCTCGAGCTCAGCTTGTTTCTCTGATTTACACTTGAGCAGCACTCGAGGAATACAATAAAAATTAATAATTAAAACTGCAAAAACTCCTCTGCCAAGCACCGAAATATTTTTAGCTGATTGCTGGAGTTTAGAAGAGCAGAACTGGATTAACAGAGCCCTTTGTGCTGAGCATCCACAGTGGTGAGTGACTGCAGGGCCTGGTCTTGGATTGGCATGGATGGAGTATTCCCACTGCACCTAGAAACTACTTTTTTGGGTACAAAGACACAATATTGTGTGTTCTGATTTGGGTCACTTTGCCCTGTGGCATGGGGAGAGCACAAGGTACTCCCTGGAGGTTTACAGGAGAGGAAGATTTGTCGAGGACTGGAAGATTTGAAGAGTTAAACCCTGTCAAGTGAAGCCAAGTTTCCTGCAGATCTGAGTATGTTGTAGGACACTTTGTGCTGAAAATCATCTCTCTGAAACCTTCACTGAGGTGATAAAACACTCTATGATTTGGAATAGTCAGTGTTCCTTCAGTGCTGGGCTGGGAACTCAGATTTATGGCACAGAGATGGAAGTTTTGAGTGGAAAGAGACCTGGGAAAGGGTGTAGGTTTACAGGAACAGCCCCAGCATTGAGACAAAGTCAGTGCTCAAGTCACTGAGTGAATCACAAAGTCACTGAGACAAAGTCACTTAAGCCAAGTGCCTGGTTTAAGCCAGAATATGTACAGGATCCTTCCCTGTAACCCCCACAGCAGATGTGATATCTCCAGGCAGATTTATGCCCTCTCTGGTGTTTCATCCTCTTCAGGGCAGCAGGTAGGCCTGGACAGCATTTTGAACACTCAGTCAGATTCATTTATTCCTATCTTGTAGCTAAATCCTGTTTCTGTTCCAAGGGAGAGGAAAAGGATTGGCACATCCACAAACTGCAGGGGCAAACAGGACAGACTGCTCAGAATTTAGAGGATGGACAGGCTGGAGCAGCTGCAGAGCCTCACAGGGCAGGATGCTGCTGTGTATTGGAACATGTTGGTCAGAGAAGGACACAGGGACACATCTGTGTCATATCCCACCTGGCAAGGTGGCACTGGTGTGCTTCAACTTCACCTTGGGATGGGGAATTCACTCGAGGTCACAAACGGGACTTGTTTAGGGCCATCAAGTACAACAGCCTTGTAAACTGCCCCTGGGGGCTGCTTAATTTATGGAGGGGAGAAACAATATCTCTCCCCTGGTGCCACTTAACTTTTCATTTTATATCTGCAGTAATTGCACATGACATCTGGAAAAATTGCTGGCCAGTCCCTGAGGAAAGGCAGGGCAGGAGGTCACAGTGCTCCAGGGCTGTTCCCTGGAAGTGTTCAAAGCCAGGTTGGATGGAGCTTGGAGCAACCTGGGCTGGTGGGAGGTGTCCCTGCCTAGGGCAGGGGGTGGAATTGGATGAGCTTTAAGGTTCATTCCAACCCCTTGACATACTATGATACTATGAAAATTTGGAGGGAGAGGAGAGAGGGAGAGGGAGGAAAGGGAGGAGAGGGAGAGGAAGCTCTCTGATCATGGGATGGGATATCCCAAAGTTGGGATACAGCACGGGAAACCCTCAGTGCCATCTCCCCCTGGTAACCAAGGAGATAACGATGCCCTAGCTGTGGGTGACTCAGTTTCCCCTGGGATGAGCCCCCCAGTGTGTTCTCTACAGAGCAAGACCACCCCTGCCTCAATTTCCCCTGAGGAAAACCAGAAACATCCCTGGTGGCAACGGCCAAGGGTGAGCTGGGGGCTGTGGGAAGGGAAGGACCAAGGTCTGACCCTCCTGCAGCTGCACCGCGGGGACCCTGCGAGCATCCCGAGGATGCAGGACCGAGGCTGGGGGGCCCCGGGACGGGGCTGAGGACCAGCTG